ACAGTTCCTGGTGTGTGGTGGTGTGGAACACAGTTCCCAGTGTTTTCTGGCGTGAAAAACAGTTCCCAGTGTTTGGTGGTGTGGAACACACAGTTCTTGGTGTTTGGTGGTGTGGGACACACATCTACTGGTGTGTGGTGGTGTGGAACACAGTTCCCAGTGTTTGGTGGTGTGGAACACACAGTTCCTGGTGTGTGGTGGTGTGGAACACAGTTCCCAGTGTTTGGTGGTGTGGAAAACAGTTCCCAGTGTTTGGTGGTGTGGAACACACAGTTCTTGGTGTTTGGTGGTGTGGGACACACATCTACTGGTGTGTGGTGGTGTGGAACACANGGTGGTGTGGAAAACACAGTTCCTGGTGTGTGGTGGTGTGGAACACACAGTTCCTGGTGTGTGGTGGTGTGGAACACAGTTCCCAGTGTTTGGTGGTGTGGAAAACAGTTCCCAGTGTTTGGTGGTGTGGAACACACAGTTCTTGGTGTTTGGTGGTGTGGGACACACATCTACTGGTGTGTGGTGGTGTAGAAAACACAGTTGCTGGTGTGTGGTGGTGTGGGACACACATTTCTTGGTGTGTGGTGGTGTGGAATACAGTTACTGGTGTGTGGTGGAGTGGGTTACACAGTTTCTGGTGTGTGCTGGTGTGGAACACACAGTTCCTGGTGTGTGGTAGTGATGGGACACCAAGATCCTTATGTGTGGTGGAGTGGGACACAGTTCCTGGTGTGTGGTGGTGTGGAACACACAGTTCCTGGTGTGTGGTGGTGTGGAATACAGTTCCCAGTGTTTGGTGGTGTGGAAAACACCGTTCCTGGTGTGTGGTGGTGGTGTGGAACACACAGTTCCTGGTGTGTGGTGGTGTGGAACACAGTTCCCAGTGTTTGGTGGTGTGGAAAATAGTTCCCAGTGTTTGGTGGTGTGGAACACATAGTTCTTGGTGTGTCGTGGTGTGGAACACACAGTTCCTGGTGTATGGTGGTATGAAATACAGCTACTGGTGTGTGGTAGTGATCAGACACACAGTTCCTGGTGTGTGGTGGTGTGGGACACACAGTTCCAGGTGTGTGGTGGTGTGGGAAACACAATTACTGGTGTGTAGTGGTGTCGGACACCAATATCCTTATCTGTGTTGGAGTGGGACACACAGTTCCTGGTACATGGTGGTGTGGGACATCCAGATCCTTATGTGTGGTGGTGTGGGACACACAGTTACTGGTGTGTGGTGTTGTGGGACACACAGTTACTGGTGTGTGGTGGTGTGGGACACACAGTTACTGGTGTGTGGTGGTGTGGGATACATAGTTCCTGGTGTATGGTGGTGTGGGACACAGTTACTGGTGTGTGGTGGTGTGGAATACAGTTAATGGTGTGTGGTAGTGATGGGACACACAGTACCCGGTGTGTGGTGGTGTGGGACACCCAGATCCTAATGTGTGGTGGAGAAGTACACACAGTTGCTGATGTGTAGTGGTGTGGGACACACAATTGCTGGTGTGTAGTGGTGTGGGACACCAAGATCCTTATGTGTGTTGGAGTGGGACACACAGTTCCTGGTACTTGGTGGTGTGGGACACACAGTTCCTGGTATGTGGTGGTGTGGGACACACAGTACATGGTGTGTGGTTGTGTGGGACACCAATATCCTTATGTGTGGTGGTGAAGGACACACAGTTCCTGGTATGTGGTGGTGTGGGACACACAGTACCCGGTGTGTGGTTGTGTGGGACACCCAGATCCTTATGTGTGGTGGCGTGGAACACAGTTCCTGGTATGTGGTGTTGTGGGACACACAGTTACTGGTGTGTGGTGGTGTGGGACACACAGTCACATGTGTGTGGTGGTGTGGGACACACAGTTCCTGGTGTGTGGTGGTGATGGAACATCTTATCATGGTATGTTGTGTTCTTGTCAACAGTCTGATTACTTCAGAGTACAGGACAGACATGGTAGCACAGCAATGTTTTGATGGGGACCAAGACGACATCAATGCAGTCGTGAATCTGTCTCTCCAAGATCTTCATCCAGACCACATATTTTGTTTAATTTGTGAACTGGCGAGTGAGTAATATTTTTTGTCAACATATTCCACTCTAATGACTCATCAAGACAGTGCTTTTTACAATGGTTGAAATGCTTCTAATTGTAAATCAGGATAATTACATACTTCTCCCAACTATTACATTGTTTAGTAAATCTATCAATAACAATTTACAAGAAGATGCTATAAATGTTTGTGTAATATTTTACTGAGTTTAAAATATGGAGATGAAAGTTTAAAATGTGAAGATGAATGAACCATTTCAATAAAGCTGTCAATGTACAACATTATAGTATAAAGTATAGTGCTTTAATTTCAAGGTGTCAAAATGTCGTGCCATAAATCCCTGGCATTGTTTCATGAGAATTAATTTCATGGAGCATCAATTTTTGCATTTCACTGTCAGTATTTTGTAATGTGAACAATAAAAGATTTGTATTTAATAAAAGTAGGAATGTGTAGACTATAAATTATGTCATTTTATATATATATATGTATACATATAATGCAAAAAGAAAAATTCTCATCAATGAGTCTTTAGTCCTTTCATCTCTTCTAGGAGATTCTTTAGACTGTTTATTTGAAGTATTGACGTCTTAAACTATGACGTCACATAATAATTTGCTATATCGAGGTCCGTTATATACATACTCGCCATAGCGATATCACAGCAATAGAAATACATTACAAGAGGCCCATGGGCCTTAACGGTCACCTGATATATTTATACGGAGAGTTGATTTTGTTTTTAAGACGAACAGAAATATTATTCAGTGACAAAAAACAATAAAACCACCTTATTCAATATCTAGCATACGGATTTAAGACTAAAAGGTATTTGAAACTAGCACCTCTGATTCTAAACAAGAAAAAATGAAGAAATTTTAGCACACTGACTCCTTTGGGCCCCACCCTACAGCCCTTGGGGGTAGGGCTGGCTCAAAATTTTCAAAGTATCAAACCGTCAACTCAGGGTGATAATTCAAATCAAGTTATTAACATGTAATATTCAAAGTAGCATTTGCCATTATAAACCATAATAAATTTTGCCCCTTCACTCCTTCCCCAGGGGGTAAACGTGAGACCCTAGGGTCATAAACCTTAAGACCCTTCCATCTATGAAGAGTGTTTGATTCTACCATATCTGGGTCTTTGAGAATTTATTTTTTTGAAATTTCAGTCAATCCAACCCTTTTTGGCCCCACCCATCAGCCCCTGGGGGTCAGCCAGGGCTCATAGGTACATACTATCAAACTGCTACCTAATACTAATAATGCTAACCCAAATTGAATTACTTCCTATGGAAATTAAACAAATGTTGGTCCAAAATGTGATTTCCCTATATGAACTATAGTAAAGTTTACCCTCTCCCCAGGGGGAAACATGAGACCCCAGGGTCAAGAAATTCACAATTTTGGTAAAGCACCTTAAGACCCTTCCATCTATGAAGAGTATTTGATTCTACCATATCTGGGTCTTGAGAAGAAGATTTTTGAAATTTTAGTCAATTTGCCCTTTTTGGGCCCCGCCCCTCAGGCCCCTGGGGGCCGGGGGCCAAACCTGCAACTATTTTTGTTGACCTTTGGCCATGGAAGGTCCCTGCAAAATTTCATTGAAATTGGTTCAGGGGTTTTGGAGAAGAAGTCGAAAATGTAAATTGTTTACGGACGCACGACGGACGACGGACGACGACGGACAAAAGGCGATCGCAATAGGTCACTTGAGACTTTGTCTCAGGTGACCTAAAAAGCAGGATAGTTTTCCATGATATCAGAAACAAAAACATTTAAAACTGTACAAATAATTTATACTATATACTACTAATGCGAAATAACAGATATTTTTTTGTTATTATTCTATATTCAATGTAAACAATTGTTATAGTAAAGTAGGTCTAATTCCAAGAGCGTTACCATGAGAACATAGGCATACATTCTTCCATAAAACATTATTTCCATGTACACTGCTAGAATCCAATATTCTTAAATGACTTTAGCTGATGATAGGTCGCTAAACCCAACCAACCAACCAACCACTACTAGAACCCTCTCGAGGGTCCCATTAGAACACGAGCTTTAGTTTTAAATGTAATATTTTTGAAACGGCAGCTTTATAATGAATGGCCTTACAGAATATTTGACAGATCCGAAAAATAAGGATACTTTGTCAAGACTATCCGTAGATAAATCCTACCAACTTCAAGTTAAATCATCCACATATAACTCAAAGAGTTCAAGCAGGAAATAGGTTTTGGACAGTTGGCCATGGTAGTCCTATTAGATTTCTGATCGACATGAAGAAGATCAACACTTTGTCCTGATCATCAATAGACCATTCTTACAAAGGTTCACTTAGATAGGCACTTAAAATCTTCAGTGTTAATTTGAAATAGTTTTTCAAAATGATGGCTTTGGTGGCCATATTGAATTTCCGATAGACAATGTTAGCAGCATCTCCATTAAGTATCAATCCCTTAGTTAGTATATCAGTTCAAGTTGAACATGGACAATATCAATGTATGAGGGTCGACGATGGATAAAAAACCCCAATTGCAATAGGTCTCTTTAGCATTTTGCTTGGGTGACCTTAGTTGATTTTGTTGTAAAGAATTGAAGCAGACACATTTCTAATAATCTAGATTTTCAAAGAAAACCCACAGAACTTTGTCATGATATATATTGTCTGTTCAACAATCGCCATTTCTTTGTATTGAAATAAAAACATAAACACCATTTTGAATCTTCATAATTTATTTACTAGTAATAGTCATCAGTAACAATAGGAAGAAGAGTATTCCAACACATTCATAGTAGAATTCTAACATCAAGGTTCCTGCAATGTTATAACATATCATAACATTCAAATTACAAGAATTTCTTTCACTTTCCTAAACCACTGTCAGTATCTGAAAAGAAATTACCTTCCTATATATGTTGTTATAGATGATGCAGATAAAATAATTCATATACCAGGAATATTCAGAAAAATAAAGTTTCTTATGTCTATGACTTTTTTAACTGAAGAACCTTAGACTTTTAAAGTTTAGTCAAACAAAAGATTAACTTCAATCTTCACACTTGATCCTTCAGTCTTTTAGTACAGTTGTGATGGCCTTCACTTCCAAACAGCATTCACCAGTCACAGACAGATATGATGATGATGCTAAAGTATGCCACAAGTGGTTGGTGGATCACATTTTGTCAACAGGAGTGATACTGAGGATGTGGAATCCCGCGCCTATGACACTGGCGGTAGCCTCGCAAAGTAAGATCCGACTCATGTCCACCTTGACAATTTTACCTGTAATCAACAAAATCAGAATAAAGAAACAAGCTAAGACTTTTCTTTGTTATCAAGGTATTGTAAAGGGGCTGGATGTCCTTGTTACCAAGGTGTTGTAAAGGGGCTGGATGTCCTTGTTATCAAGGTGTTGTAAAGGGGCTAGATATCCTTGTTACCAAGGTGTTGTAAAGGGGATGGATGTCCTTGTTATCAAGGTGTTGTAAAGGGGCTAGATGTCCTTGTTACCAAGGTGTTGTAAAGGGGCTAGATGTCCTTGTTACCAAGGTGTCGAAAGGGGATAGATGTCCTTGTTACCAAGGTGTTGTAATGAGGCTAGATGTCTTTGTAACCAAGGTGTTATAAAAGGGCTAGATGTCTTTGTTACCAAGGTGTTGTAAAGGGGCTAGATGTCTTTGTTACCAAGGTGTTGTAAAGGGGCCGGATACCTTTGTTACCAAGGTGTTGTAAAGGGGCTAGATGTCTTTGCTGCCAAGGTGTTATATTAGGGCTAGATGTCTTTGTTACCAAGGTGTTATATTAGGGCTAGATGTTTTTGTTACCAAGGTGTTGTAAAGGAGCTAGATGTCTTTGTTACGAAGGTGTTGTAAAGGGGCTAGATGTCTTTGTTACCAAGGTGTTGTAAAGGGCTAGATGTCTGTGTTACCAAGGTGTTGTAGAGAGGCTAGATGTCTTTGTTACCAAGGTGTAGTAAAGGAGTTAGATGTCTTTGTTACCAAGGTGTTGTAAAGGGGCTAGATGTCTTTGTTACCAAGGTGTTATAAAGAGGCTAGATGTCTTTGTTACCAAGGTGTTGTAAAGGGGCTAGATGTCCTTGTTACCAAGGTGTTATATTAGGGCTAGATGTCTTTGTTAGCAAGGTGTTGTAAAGGGGCTAGATGTCTTTGTTACCAAGGTGTTATAAAAGGGATAGATGTCTTTGTTACCAAGGTGTTATATTAGGGCTAGATGTTTTTGTTACCAAGGTGTTATAAAAGAGCTAGATGTCTTTGATACCAAGGTGTTGTAAAGGGGCTAGATGTCTTTGTTACCAAGGTGTTATATAAGGGCTATATGTCTTTGTTACCAAGTTGTTGTAAAGAGGCTAGATGTCTTTGTTACCAAGGTGTTATATTAGGGCTAGATGTCTTTGTTACCAAGGTGTTGTAAAGAGGCTAGATGTCTTTGTTACCAAGGTGTTTTAAAAGGGCTAGATGTCTTTGTTACCAAGGTGTTATAAAAGGGCTAGATGTCTTTGTTACCAAGGTGTTATATTAGGGCTATATGTCTTTGTTACCAAGTTGTTGTAAAGAGGCTAGATGTCTTTGTTACCAAGGTGTTGTAAAGAGGCTAGATGTGTTTGTTACCAAGGTGTTGTAAAGAGGCTAGATGTCTTTATTACCAAGGTGTTATAAAAGGGCTAGATGTCTTTATTACCAAGGTTTTGTAAGGCGGCTAGATGTCTTTGTTACCAAGGTGTTGAAAAGTGGCTAGATATCTTTGTTACCAAGGTGTTGTAAAGGGGCTAGATGTCCTTGTTACCAAGGTGTTGTAACGAGGCTAGATGTCTTTGTTACCAAGGTGTTATAAAAGGGCTAGATGTCTTTATTACCAAGGTGTTGAAAAGTGGCTAGATGTTTTTGTTACCAAGTTGTTGTAAAGAGGCTAGATGTCTTAGTTACCAAGGTGTTATAAATGGGCTAGATGTTTTTGTTACCAAGGTGTTATAAAAGGGCTAGATGTTTTTGTTACCAAGGTGTTGTAAAGGGGCTAGATGTCTTTGTTACCAAGGCGTTATATTAGGGCTAGATGTTTTTCTTACCAAGTTGTTGTAAAGAGGCTAGATGTCTTTGTTACCAAGGTGTTATATTAGGGCTAGATGTTTTTGTTACCAAGTTGTTGTAAAGAGGCTAGATGTCTTTGTTACCAAGGTGTTATAAAAGGGCAAGATGTTTTTGTTACCAATGTGTTGTAAAGAGGCTAGATGTTTTTGTTACCAAGGTGTTATAAAAGGGCTAGATGTTTTTGTTACCAAGGTGTTGTAAAGGGGCTAGATGTTTTTGTTATCAAGTTGTTGTAAAGGGGCTGGTAAATAGCTGCCTTTACAGTTATAAAGGAGCTGGCAGAGATTGAGATGTCTGGGCTACCAAAATTTTGTAAAGAAGTGTCTTGGTTACAAAGATGCTGTAAATGTATTGAGTTTTGAATTCATAGGTGCTGCTTGTTCAGAAAAGGTATTAAAAACATAATAAAGTTTTGCTCAACTAAGAATAGGAGACTACACGAGGTACCAAAATATAACATTTGACAAGCATTATCAAGGGACACTAAAATAAACGTAATGAAGATAGACAAAGTTATTACTTTTACTGCATACAATTTATCATTCCTCTGTGGCAGTCATGCTAAATGTTTACTTTAGTTGTAATCTATTGAAATATTCTTAAAGAGAAAATTAAGTCATCTTAGTATTAAAACATTCTAACTGCACTCTTGGACTCTTGGAAACACACACTCAGCTCTCATAAAAAATGGGATATTTATTAGTTCTAGCGATATTAAACATCAAATGTTATTAAAATGCAGCAAAAACTTCAGGAGGAGAGGTCTTTTAGGACATAATCATATTCATTAATTCATTTTTAATCTCAGCACATTCTACTGGAAAGAGACGTGCATGGCTGGTCTTTGTAATATACCAGTCCAGGCCTCCAATTTTAGATCACTGGAGACAAAATCTCATGTGACTTGTTACCTTCACATTTTGTCTGTCATCTTTCAACCATTGTGTATCCAATAACAAATTGTACATTTTCAACTTCCTCTCATTTTCTACGGAACTGATTTTAGTAGTGTTTTTGCAGGAAGCTTCCATAGCTAAAGACAAACCAAAATCTGAAAATTGTATCGTTCGACCAATCCCCAAGAGACCCCAGAGGCAGGACCAAAATTGGTCAAATTGGTTAAAATTTCAAATTAAAATGGAACTTTAGAAAATGTCAAGAATGTCAATTATTAATAGAACAAGGACAATGGAAAAGATGCATATTGAAGATCACTTGAGTCTGTAGATAAAGTAAACTAAAACGTGGACTGAGTTGTTCAGGTTATTACAATTTGTATAGATGAATCTTGTAATAAGCAAAATGATGTTATTTCCTTTTAAGACTTTGTTGCTTACGAGACAATCCCACGCAGGGAACTGTTGTTAGGTTGTAAACTAAAACTGTATTGACAAAGGTAACTTGTAATTAGTATACTGCACATTCGTTGAGTGTCATCGCAGTGGAATCAATCAAGCATGCAGATTTAGTAATAAAATGAAATTTTACAGATATGTATCAGAAGTAGAGAAACATATCAGCTCTGAGCGTTTGAGTACAAATATGGTACAATCAAGTTATGGCTAATGTATTTTAATGATTTCAAATCTCATCCATACATAATTTGATTTGTTTATAAACTCTGTGTTTGGTTCAAACTGTGGACAAAATGACCTTCGAACAATAAGAAACATCCTGTATGAGTTTTTTATTAGCCAGTAAGAGCTCTGAGGTTACAGATTGCACAGACATGGGGCTTTTACAGCGCAATGCTTTACAATGACGATGTAAGCTGGACGGGAAATCAGACGGATACAACCCTCCTAGTTTATTACGGCCAGGGACGGGGAGAATATCGGAGTGACGATAAACTGACGACCATCATAAAGCTATCTTGGCTGATGGAAAAATGTCTGCGTGAATCTCACAGTTCCAGCTCAAGTGTCAACCCCAGATGTGATCAAATGTGAAAGATGAAAGTCCAACAATTACTGAAGATTCAAGAGAAGAACCCAGTCCTAACTCAATTAGTTGAGTTTGTCTCTGACAAAGAAGAGGAATTTACAAGCCATGCCACAGAAGTGTCAGCAGATTATAAATACAATATTCATGGCTTTGGATGATTTCAATAAATGTACAGTAATAACTGCTGCTGGTGATAGCAGAAGGCCGAGAAAATGAGGAGATATTTCAGCCGTTATTTTTATACACTGTCCACATATTGACCAGAAACAATTCCGCTATTACTGTTCCATTAATGACTCTATACCATCAACGACAAAACAAATAATACTCGACAAAGACCAGTAACGAGATTCCAAATAACCACATCCACTGAGAAAGAGTGAGGAGAACAAAATATCTACTTCTCGGAACAGAAACTTGACGAGCAAAAGTCCCAAGGGGCCTGTACAACTTTGTAATGGTGTTGCTAACATTATAATACATAATGCTTAAATGATGAACGCCAAGAGGCACATGGGTCTTTAATCAGCCACATTTTTCATTTATCTGAGTTAAATGATAGCCAACTGATAATTGTTTTCTTTTTGATCAACCTTAACAATAACTATACTTGTTTAGTACATCACATGACAATTTCTAGGATAGCTATTGGATAACAACCCTTGTTCTATTTGGTATAGTCAGTATCAGCCCTTGACAACGGGAACTATACCTGGAGACGGGCACTATACCTTTTTTTTGGACCGCTGAGACTGCGGGAAAAGTAGCGTGACGCAAGAGTTGCGCCCCTTTTCCTAGGGGGCGCTGTACATATCCTACTTTCACTTCATTGTTGTCGTCTGCCAAAATGGCTTCGAACTTCGGGACCGGGAATGCCGATTGCTTCGCAGAGGCCCAGCAATGCATAAAGACGAAGCAGGCGACACCATTTGACGTCGCAGTCCTTAAAGACTTCCTACTGGAAAGGGGAACCATATGTGACCTAGCGGTGATTCAATCCAGTGAATTGAATACGCAACAAAAAAGGAGAGATCTACTCAAAAAATTCTCTAATTGCCATTTGTTGTTAATTATCAAATAAGTTATCAATAAAGTTCCTCATGTTTGTCTTTTTATTGTCAAATAACAGTCATGTGATGTACTAAATCAATTATGACCCTTTCCCTTGGGAACAGTTCCCTTATAGTGTTGTCTGGATAGGGCACTATACCTCCCCAGACAACACTATAAGAA